TTCAAGAGTTAAATGTTGAGATTTTTCTATGCCTCTGATTTTGTTATTTTAGTACATACAAATCACAAGCCTACTTTCAGAATACTACCAAGCACTTAGCACATCACATAATGAAGATGACCAGAACTTTGCAATTACAGTGTTCGTACAATGGACAGTTGGACACTGACCTTCACTGCGAATGACACCATGCAAGCGAAGGGAAGTACCTCCCCTAAAAAAAAAAAAACCCACTCTAAACAAACACTTCTGTTTTCACTTGCACCAAAACACACTATAATGTGAATTTTCATGGTAGAGTTCTGTCTAGATTTCAAAATGTGTATATGGATTAAGCCAACAGTTTATTCTGAATTAATGTTTTTCCAGAACCTGGCTTTAAGTGCATCTCAGTTTTTTGTTCATCTTTAACATAAGGACTATGTAGGTTCTTTCATTATCTGAGAGTACTTGAGACTTGCTAATCAGTGGAGGGCTTCAACTATCTTGAAAGACAGCAAATTCTCCACTGACAAGATGTGGCAACATCTGAATTTTGGTTAAAAATATAACCCTCAAATTTAAATTACAAGCTAATCCCTGAAAAAAAGACAAGATCTCCTGAAATACAATAGCTGTCAGCTTCAGTACTTTTAATGCTGTTTTAACAGTTGCCATCAAAATACCAGCTTGTTTTGCTCATATGCTACTGTTTAAGGTGTTGAAGATTAAATATCTAATTAGTTTCAAGACTGGTCTTCCAAGAATGCTTCCCATTCTGCAAAACATGTTTTTCTAACAAGTACAGAAACCTGTAGCAGGAAAATGTGGTTTCCTACACATTCATACTTACTACCTGGTAATAACCTGAAGATGGCAGTTTTCTGTTATCAGCTTTATTGTTTGGTGTCCTTCAAAAAAGTTGCAGGAACGTTTTAAGAAACAGGAAAAGGCGTACAGCAACCTTACCCATAATCAAGTGTAGTGATTCAGCTCAGTGAAATTCTAAATGTATCCTGCCAAAATAAGTTTACTGCTTGTACGCTGCATTTTAAGAATTCCTTTATACAGTAAGAAAAAGTTTACCAAGATGCCTAAGGTTGACTTTTATAGTCCTAAAAGAAATAATTCTCCAGCTCTTTATGGCTGTATGTAAAAGCCCTTTCCTAGTATCACCCTCAGGCACACAGAGTTAAGCACATTAACTTCTACCATTTTCTAGGACTGCTATTTAGAATTTAAATCTGTATTACTGGACCTACAGTACAAGCTTTCTTATTTTAAAAAGACATCTGAAACATTTTCTTCCATTTCTAGAAACGACACAAGGACCTCAAAATTACTTAAACTCAAATGGGGTAGGTAAAACCATTGTGGCTCGATTTGTGAGCTGTGATTAAGTGCACAAAACCAGATGCATTACTTTTGACACTGCAGCAGGTAGTTTATGGACATACAACAAAGAAAACGAGTATATTTTGCCTTCTGTGAGGAAAATACACTGTCATGGCAGAACATGCAATTATGCAACTCTTGGTGGTATTAAAAAGCTGATGCCTGCTCCAAATGTAATTTACACTTCCTAAAGATTAGGAAACTTTTGGATGAAGCTTCAGTTCAGCTGAATAATAAAGCCATAAATAAATTTCTTATTGCTTGGAAACTTCCCCCTGCCCAACTCTTTGGGAGGGGGGGTGAAAACACAACCAACAGCCTAACCCTCTAGGTTCTCTCTCAGCACTATACAAACAATTCCAATTAAGTAAAGAATGTTACTCTTCATTAATCTCTTCTAGTTCTTTATGGAATCTACTTCAAGTGATCAGCCAAGACACATGAAGAAGAAATTACAGTGCACAAGTTAGCTATCAAGTAACAGTGGCTTTTAATGGAAACTCTTCCTTTGCTGGCTTTTATCCAATACAAGAATAAACTAAGCATCTGCTAATTTCTTTGCTTACATTTCACTGAAACAGGAAACATAACAGTGTGAACATAAAGTAAAAAAAAGTAAATCCATTGTCATGCGCTGCTGTCTGGCTAGTGATTAGGCATAAAATACAAGTCCCTATTAAAATAAAGTCAATCTAGACAAACTCTAGACTGGAAGTGTGATGTCTTGAAACTAAGTGGGGACTTCAAGATGTCAAGCTAGATTTGAAAATTAATATTTATGAAATCAAGACAACGCTTCAGATTAAATGTTTTAGTGCAAAACAGTAGTCACATTGTTACTCCTGTGGGTCAAAAGGTAGGTATATACATTCAATACACACCAATAACAGACAAGAAGTAACCAATACTCTTAAACATCCTCAGCTCTAACCTCCCTACACTTACTAATCTGAGCAGGCTTCCCTGGGACACCAGGAGGTTTGGCCAGTATATTGAGTTAGATACCAAAGTATGTAGAGTGATTGGGAGTGATGACCACTTACAACTTACCAGTATTATTAAATTATATGAGTTACTCCTTGAGAAGCTGGCAGCTCATGGCTTAGACAGGTGTACTCTTTGCTGGGTAAAAACTGGCTGGATGGACGAGCCCAGAGAGTTGTGGTGAGTGGAGTTAAATCCAGTTGGTGGCTGGTCACAAGTGGTGTTCCCCAGGGCTCAGTATTGGGGCCAGTTCTCTAATATCTTTACCAGTGATCTGGATGAGGGGATCGAGTGCACCCTCAGTAAGTTTGCAGGTGACACCAAGTTGGGAGGCAGGGTTGATCTGCTGGAGGGCAGGAAGGCTCTACAGAGGGATCTGGACAGGCTGGATCGATGGGCCGAGGCCAATCGTATGAGGTTCAACAAGGCCAAGTGCCGGGTCCTGCACTTGGGTCACAACAACCCCACACAGCGCTACCGGCTTGGGGAAGAGGGGCTGGAAAGCTGCCCGGCGGAGAAAGACCTGGGGGTGCTGGTCGACAGCCAGCTGAATATGAGCCGGCAGTGTGCCCAGGTGGCCAAGAAGACCAACGGCATCCTGGCCTGTATCAGAAATAGCGTGGCCAGCAGGAGCAGGGAAGGGATCGTCCCCCTGTACTCAGCACTGGTGAGGCCGCACCTCGAGTCCTGTGTTCAGTTTTGGGCCCCTCACTGCAGGAAAGACATGGAGGTGCTGGAGCGTGTCCAGAGAAGGGCAACCGAGCTGGTGAGGAGCCTGGAGCACAAGTCTTATGAGGAGCGGCTGAGGGAACTGGGGCTGTTTGGTCTGGAGAAGAGGAGGCTGAGGGGAGACCTTATCGCTGTCTACAACTGCCCGAAAGGAGGTTGTGGTGAGGTGGGCGCTGGTCTCTTCCGTCAGGTGGCTGGAGGTAGGACAAGAGGTAATGGCCTCAAGTTGTGGCAGGGGAGGTTTAGGTTGGATATTAGGAAAAATTTCTTTCCTGAGAGGGTTGTCAGGCATTGGAACAGGCTGCCCAGGGAAATGGTGGAGTCACCATCCCTGGAGGTATTAAAAAAGCACATAGACAAGGCACTTCAGGACATGGTTTAGTGGGCATGGTGGTGTTGGGTTGACGGTTGGACTCGATCTTGAAGGTCTTTTCCAACCTAAACAATTCTATGATTCTATGAATTTACAGTCCTATAGCAGGAACAGCATGCCTCTTAACAACTCCTTTGATATAGAAACAGCACGCCTCTTAACAACTCCTTTGATATAAGGCAGATCATATATGCAATACTTAGTTTTGTCAGTCACCACATCATCTTCTATCCAGTTTTGGTTTTAGAATTTATAAAAAGGGCTAGTAATTAGATTGAACTGAACTGCAAGTTTAAAAAAAACCAACCAAAACCAAAAAACCAAACCACCTCAGGTTGGGGGCAGGGGTGTCATTCTTGCATAGAGGGCATTGTCTATTATAAGTCAAGACCTCCTTAGAAAGGAAGCATTGAGTGTACCATGCAGTACCAAAACAATTACTTTGTTAATATGCAGATCCAGTGGAGCCAAATTTGAGTCTTGTACTAACAATAGTGCCTGGTATCATTAGACAAAGGAATATTTGCAGTCAAGGCAGCATGCTATAAAAATAACACGACAAACAGACACAGGAACTTACATTTATCCACAATTAGATTGTGTTTAACAGTGGAAGGGCCTGTTATTGAAAGCATGGCATCTGAAGCATCAACACCTAGTTTGGGTTACCGCTGGCAAAACTAAGTTAAACAAGAGGTATCCAGCAACTGTGATCTATTTGGTAAACTAAATAGCCTTTGTAAACTACCACATCTGATAGAATGCTAGATTTTTCTTTTAATATAAATGTGAGATGTATTTCATGAATGACACCTGGTTAGTCATGGCTATCTGACCTATCTATCCAGGTTTTGGCTTTTACAATTATTTCTCTTCCATTCTCCAACTAGAAATATGGGGTTTCCCCCACACTGGACACTGCTCAGTGGACACAACGACATTATTGAAAACTACTTTTTTATTATAAGGCTATTTCTAGCTTTTCCACCACTTTAGTTTGTTCATGCCTGTTAAGAGACACAAGAATACAGATACTAGCCGTAACCTTATTGCATAGGAGAGGCAATACTTCAGAAAGCACTCATCACTTGTTTTGACTTTTCCTTACCTATGCTGCACACACTGAAGCAAACATAACATGTAAATTAGTTGCAACACAGATCAATATTGCATGATGTTTGAAATTATAGCTGAAACCCAGGGTAGATATACCAAATCTAAATCAGCTGTACCGGATATGGAATTTTTAAGATGCCTTCCACTCTGCAGTTTTAAAGAACAAGGACAACATTGCTTTTGACAGAAAAATTTTTGGAAATAGAAAACAATTCATTTTTCATTTTGTGTCAGGCATCTATGGCTTATAAAAACCAACACAGCTGCAAGGAGCCAAGACAGTCTTTTGGAAGTTTAGGCCACCTAGCCATCAGCGGTAGTTTCCCGTGGGGAAACTAATTACTTGCATAATTTGCCAATACCACAAACACAAAATTCACTTCCATTTAAACAAATAGGTCTAATAAGTAAGAAACAAACTTACTACTCTGGTTCCTGATGACCGACGTGTTGCTCTAACATTAGAAATGCTCCTTGGGCTGGCTGGAGTTGCCAATGGAAGAGTAGTAGAAAGTTGGGGAGGACTGAAAGACATCAAAGGCAATCTGGTATCTCCTAACACGCATTGCTTGGAATTGGAATTTTTATTAGCAAACCTCTCATTTTTATCGTTTCCTGAATCTCCATGACCAGTCTCCATTTCCTCCTCGTTCTTGATTCTTCTCAAGCAGTCCTTTAGTGTCAGCTGAGTTGCAGGCTGACTCAACCAGCACAAAAAGAGTTCATCCACCTTCATTTTCAGTACAGGTTGCAGAACTTTCCCAGGTGACATTTTCCCTTTTTGTTGGATCAAATTCAGAATAAAAGTTTGACAATCATCTACTTATTCCACTTGACTTTCAGTGTTTCACAGACTCCAGGGCTCCTGTTAAGAAAAATACTATTATTTAATCTTACAGTTTTAACAAAGTGTTGATATTTATTCCTTCAAGATACCAACAGGTGTTGTAAGATACACACTAACATGTGACTACAACAACATTTTGTAAGTGTAAGCCATTAATAGCAGTCAAATCCAGAGGATAATTCCTTTTAAAAGCATACTCTGTAAGTGATGAAGACTGGAAAGAAAGAAACTGCACTCAGACTTTCTCAAAGAGCTATCTAACAAATGTTCTCCAAGAACATGTGTTAACACATTTATTATGACAAATAGCCTTGAAAAGACTTATAATTGAACCTGCTAAGAACTAAATGTCTAACCAGTTTATGCAAAGCCTTGGTGATAGTACAATTAAGATTTAAAAAGCAAGCCTTTCAGCCAAGAGATTTAGAGCTAAGACCGAAGGCTCAATTTTCATTCTGAAGTCTGTGCTTCCGATTTAAAAATCTTGCAGTGCAAGATGCATTCCCATATGAGCGATGCCCAGCTGAATTCCCGAAGATCCTTCCTCAGGATTTGATTAGCCTGCCCACTTGGTATCACACAGTCATTTGGTATTTTAAGAACTGATCTATTTGACATTCACTTTTACTTTTTTTAAAGCCAACGTGAAATGCAACATGACTCAAGAACTGGAAAAGTATGATTTCAGGTTCAGTTGCTCACCTGAAACAAAGAGAAAATATGCTTTGGGGTTTTTTTTAGAGAGCCAGAGGACTGGTGCTAAATACTGAGAACAGAACCCAAGTTACTATCATCATCTCTGCAATCAAATTACATAGTGATCTGGTACAGTTTCACTAAACCCTGTGCTTCCACCCGTTTTGGGTTTGTTTTTTTTTTTTTTAAAGCCTTCATCAATATCTGATCCGTATGTAGAAAGCAGCAAAGATAAGCAAATACTTCGCTGAAGAAGCCTCAAAATAAGCACTTGAATTTGGGAGTGAGTAACACCTAGCAAACGAATGTACTCTTAAAATCAAAGCTCATTCTTCGTCCCGTGGCAGAACTATAAGCCTTAGAACACCGCACCAGTTAAGTTTCCTGAACCTTTACGTTTAATAACAGCTAAGCTCCCCTGCCGCTGAAACTGAAGGTCACGCTGTTTCACCAGCTTTTCAGACCAACGCTTGTGCGGCGCCCACGGCTGTGGCGGCAAGCCCCAAGCCGCCCTCGCCCGGGCGGGCAGCGCCGCCGCTGCCGCCCAGCGCTAGCGGACACC